ATTTTTCAGAAGTTTTGCAATGACAATAGCTGTTCATGCAGCATTCTACTCACAATTCTGGCCATGAAGCTGATGAACAGCTTCTTCCAGCTTCTTTTTCCCAAATTAGGRCCTGAAAACTCCACAGCTGCAGCCTTTGTCCAGACAGAGAAGGGTTTTAGCCAGGTAACCAAGGTTCCTGGATATGTGTTTCCTCTGACCTCACTAAATAATGAGAGAACAGAAGGTGCTAGGTGTGTCACAAATGTGAAGCATAAGTTACACACAAACATTTACAGTTTAAACAATGCTTACGGAATTCAGCAGGTACTTCATCATGATAGGCCTGTGAAAAGCCTTACATTTTGGATCTGTGGTTTCTTATGAAAAAACTAAAAGTGTAAAAAAAGCTACATTGTTATTGTCAATTCCTATGTAGTAGTATCATAAAAAAGAAGCCCACTGTACTTGTAAATACCTAAGTCTGTAATACTCCCCATCAGACAGTTTACTTTCACTGACAGATTTCATATGCTCATGCCTGTCTATCTTTCACAGCCTGGAGTATGTAATTAAATTGTAAGTGTCGTCAAATCAACAAGAATGAAAGTGGAATGTATATAACTTCAAAATATTTTAGTCTTCTGAGCCTCCCAAAAATAAGTTCAGAACACCAAATTAGAGTGCTGATGTTTCTGCCATTTGATTGTGTTATTCCTGTTTTAGGAGTATGTACAAAATGTGAGTAAATAATTATAAATGGAAGATGTCTTACTTGCAAATTTAGAGTGGCAAACATTTAAATTTAATTCAGCATTTAATTTTTTAAAAAGTATTTTAAGACTAATGATAGAAATTAGTAAGATTTTAATTGATTATACTTCTAAATTTAAAGAAGTTAGAGCAAAAGTTAAATTCTGAGGCATTTACGTTATGGGTGTTTCTTTTCAAAACAGAACTGATAATGGAGGAGTATCAAACCTGAAGTAAATCTTAACAACTACCATTCTGTATGAGCTCATTCATATCATGCCAAAAATATAGACTCCAAGAATTGTGCCATTTTTCTTGAATATGTTTTGTCTTAATATATACATTAAGCTTTTCAGTATTTTAGTACATCATACTGTCAATGGAAGACACAATAGGTAGACATGTTCTTCAGAAAAAATACTAAATGGGGAGAGCAGTGAGATTCTACATTAATGTTGCAATGCAATGCTTTAAAAAGATCTAATATACATGAAATTGAATTACTTTGGCTCCAAATCACTTTGGAGAAAGTCACTAAAAAGGTGCTGGGGATCTGCCACTAGACAGCTGAATGTAGCTGTAGCCTTTTTAATGTTACTCCACAGGGAAGTGCAAGTAGGCATTAGGTGATGCTTTAACATCCCAGACACAAACTCTACCTATGGCAATCAAATCCAGGTATTCTTGGATGCAATAGCCCATTTATTTCTTCCCCAAATTATCATAAAGTCAAGAAAAGATTGTTATACTGGTTAGACTTGATAACTGGTGAAGATCGAGTGGCAGGAACATTACTGGATCCTGTTCATACAAACTGATTCAGAATAAGCAAGGACAGATAGGCAGATTTGAAAATACAAACTCGAGAAATTAAAAGGAGCTGGATAGTGGAAGTTAAGAAAACCGCCTGTGCAGAATGTCTGAAATTTCTTGGGCTTGAAAGCACCCAAACCAACCAACCAACCAACCAACCAACCAACCAACCAACCAACCAAACCTTGGACTTTTCATTCTGCCTATGAGGGAAATATGAGACCCTCAGGAACATCCCACAGGGCCAATGCACCCATGTCACCTGGTATTAGCAGCAGTACAAAAGTTGAGCTGAGTAAGAATATCTGAAGGACTTAAAACCAAATGGTTAAACATCCTTGCTCCTTTACAACTTCAAAACAAGAACATTGATTTTAAAGGGGTCCCTATTGTCGTGGTTTAGAATGCTGGCCGAAAGTCAGGCACCCACAACACCTACTCATTCGCTCTCTCCCACCACCACTGGGCAGAGAATAGCAAAGAAAAAAAAAATAACGAACGGGTTCATGAGTTGAGATAAGGAGCAGGGAGGAAAATGCTTGATGGACAAAACAGGCTCTACTTAAGTTATAAAGTGAATTTATCAGTAACAAAGTCAGAGGAGGAGAATGAGAAATAAAATAAAACCATCAAAGACACTGATCTTCTCCGCACTCCCTCCCCACTTCCCACCAACAGTGCAAAGCAGGGGTGGGGTGAACAGGGTGTGGGGTTGGTCAGTTCATCACCCGATCGTCTGCAACTGCTGAGGGACAGAAGTCCTTCCCTTGCGTTGCAGTGGGGTCCCTTCTACGTGAGATAGTTGTTGGTCAACCTCTCCGGCATGGTTCCAATCTCACGAGTAGCAGTCCCAAACATCTGCTGCTCCCCTACGGGCAGACAGTCGTCCTAAAACTGCAGCACCGTGGGATCCCTCGTCCACTGGGTGCAGGCCGAAGGCCAGGCTGTTCCATCTTGGGAGCAAGGCCTCTCTCTCCATGGGTCTCCTGCTGGACACAGCCCCTTCTCGGCGTCCGCCCGCTCCAGCGTGGGAACCTCCCTCCTCCATGGGCTGCGGGTGAATCTCTGCACCCTCTGTGGACCCCATGGGCTGCAGGGGGACAGCCTGCTCCACCATGGTCATCACCACGGCCTGCAAAGGAATCCCAGCTCCAAAGCCTGGAGCAGCTCCTCCCGCTCCTTCTCCACTGACCTTGGTGTCTGCGTTCCCGCACATATTCTCAGCCTCCTCCTCTGGCAAAACTACTGTGTCTGCCACCTTTGTTTTGATTTCTTCTTAAGTATGTTTTCACAGAGGCGTAACCACCATCTCCAATTGGCCCAGGTTTGGTCAGTGGCATGTCCATCATCCTCAGAGCCAGCAGCAACTGGCTTTGCTGGACATGGTGGAAGCCTTCAGAAATTTCTCACAGAAGCCATCTTTTTTGGATCCCCCCACTTGCAAAAACTGGGCCATGCAAAACCAATACACCYATCTAGTGAGGATGAGAGATGGAGTAAGACCAAAGATTTGACCACTAACTGCACGAATTCTTTTGCCTTTAGTTTTCATTTTGCCTTGTAGAAGAACAGAGGTAGGAGGAATAATACGAACAGAGAAAAAAATCAATTGTGAGGTGGGAAAAAACCTCAAAGATCTTCAAATTCACATTACAAAAACCAGTGAACTTCCCATTCATTCACTCTTCTCCAAGCAAGACCAGACATATGAAGTTGCAGCTTGGGTAATAAAATTTTTGTTGAGCGTATCAAAAGAGAGATTTTGCTCTGTAAATATGAACCACAAATTTTATGGGGGGAAAATGATCTGAGAGAGGTTGCTTGACACTCAAGAATTTGAAACAAAATTTAGTGGGCAATTATATTTAAAGTTGTGGATTTAATTTAAAATTGGATATAATCTAATATAGATTTAGGAAATAAGGCTACTTGCCTTGATGTGTGTCTTTATTTTCAACAAGAAAGTTGCAATAAAATGAAATATCAGTCATCTCCAGAAAAGCATTTGATGCAGCACCGCAGGGGAAATTGTTACCTAAATCCTTGAACATATGAATGAATGCAGTATTTGTAATGGTGAATAAGGACTTCCAAACCTACTTGGCATTGTCTTTGCTAAAAAATCAGTTAGTGGGATGGTGAGAAGTCATCAGTCCTAGGTGTTGGAACTTCTCTTATTTGGTGTTGAATTTAACTTCAGTTGAAGAAAGCTAGAGTATGCCAGCCAAAACACGATGGTACCATGAGCAGGCTTTGTCAGTGGAGGGGTAGGGGAGGAGGTACAAATGGTACAAATGGCAGGGTCTCAATATAAATTGGGGATGCAGGGTGATGATAATTAACAATATAGAGAGGAAGAGCTGATCACCTCTCATTGGCATTGCTGGCGAGATCAAACCTGGGATACTCTGAACATTTCTGTCTGTTCATGTCCATGAAAGGGTGTAAACAGGTTTTCAGTGAAGCTGTTTTAGGAACTTTACAAAGTAAGTTTCTATGATAGCCTTTCATTAGTGAGGACGAAAAACCTTATTTCTAGATGAGGTATGCTTACAGAAGACATTTAGTATATTTTCAGTGAGAACCATAGGAGCTTGGTCTCAATGACCCTTGTGTTCCTCAGTTTCCAATCCAAACATCAAATATTCCACATAATGAAACTAAAAATAATGTGCAAATGTAATTGCTGACAAAGTTTTTAGAAGAATCAGCAGCCGAAAAGCTCTATTTTGTCTCAGATACTATAATTACGAAATGCTGCGGGAAATTTATTACACTAAATGAAAAAAAAAAAAAAAAGTACTGTTATTCCCAGGAAATAATATCTGGAAGGATGATACCATGAATATGTGAAACAAAAATTATTTTGGAAACTGATTCTTGTTTTTCTTCATTGCCATTAAAATATTCATAGTGATGTAGTGTGATTATATGAAATAGAACCTTAGGAGTATGGAAATTGTACCTAGTAATTAAGTATTTTGCAGAAAATACAGAGAGATTAACAAGCAGTGAATTACTTCTGCCTCATTTTTCTTATGTGAATTCAGTTCCTTTTCAGAAACCATTACTCAAGATAAAAATGGTATCAAACTGAGTTTTTTTGTGGCTCTTTCAGAGGTGAATACAAAGCAGTGAGCTCTCTGGCTTATTTGCCGTTATGAATTCAGCTTGCTGTCTCTCATCTTTGGTAAGGGTGGGGAAAAGTGTCAAGGAAAAAACTACTGCTTTTCACTGCTTTTCCGTAGCAGTGAAAGAAAAGCAGAAGCAGCCAGTTTGAATGCCGTGGCTTTAGTGCTCTGGAAGTGCTTCTCTTGTGTAACTGGGCTGAGGGAGAGCCTTTTTTTCTTCCCAACATCACTGCAATCAGATATATGGGTGCAGCTCTGCTTTACCGCAGCATGATGCAGTTGTGTATAGTTCAGCGTGCCCCTCTTGGAAACAGGCGGAAGGAGAGCAGCTGACCAGAGTAGGCAGAGGATGTTCATTAGAGGGTGCTTTTTTCCCCCCCTAAAGCTAAGCAGTGCGTGTGAGATTCCTGCAGCTGCACAGAAGACGGTTTCAGTGGGGCTTCAAGTTGATCCTCGGTCTGCGAGAGGAGGTGCAAACGCTCGGGCTGGCAGCTTCTGATGGGAAAAAAGCTTCCGACAGGCAGATTGCGCGTTCTCAACAGCACGGCTCAGACAGCCTTCGGGAAGATACTCTAACTGTGCTTATGGAACAACTGCTGTGGTGCTGCATATGCTGTAACCGAGCAGAAGAAATTTGCCCAGCTGCGGAATTGAATAAGTAAAAATACGTACTGAGGGGGCGAGGGAATAAAATACTCTTCGGCTAGAATTAAGTACAAGCCCCGAAGGAAGAGCAAAGGACAAAAATCTCATGGTGTGTTTTTGTTGTTTTTGTTGAGCTTTTTTTATTTTTTTCTTTTTAATGAGCTTACCTACCATGAACGGAAGAAGTGGATCTGCGGAGACTTCATTTCCTCCTCTGACCCCTCGTTTACATCACTGACTGGTGACAGTCACATCTACATACATAGTACCTGCCACTTCAGCTGCTCAGAATTATAGAAGCCTCTTTGTATGCAGCAGACATGGCTAGCCAGCAGGATTCAGGCTTCTTTGAAATCAGTATCAAATATTTACTCAAATCCTGGAGCAATAGTGAGTAGCAGAAGAATAATCTTTTCATATTATGCATTGCTTGGTAAATAGCTAGGATAACTTAAAGGATAGAATCTTAYCTTTCTGTATGTTTGTGTTGTATAAACCAAGTAATTTTTGCTTTTGTCASCTCTAAAAATCAAAATGTCAGAGATTTAAATAGGTTTCATTAACTGCAGAGGCTGTAATGAGATTGCACTAGATTTTGCTTGATTGAATTCTGAAGTTACGCTGCTTTCTGGGTCTAACAGTACATTGCAGGGAGTGCATTCCAAACAGCATTTCCTGCCTATATGTTTGTTTGATTTGTTCAGATTTTATCTAAATATTTTTTTAAATGCTGTTTTAATCACAAGAGTGTGGCATTGCTCAGAAGTTTTTATTAATTGTGCAGTGAGGTTTTTATTAATTGTGCAGTGAGGACAAAAATACAATTATTCTACTTCAGGTCCGAAAGTCATTTTAATGTGATGCGAAGCAAAACGTCAGTAGCTTATAGCTGCACTTCCCACCCTCTGTGCTTAATTTCAAAATCTTATGCAGTATTTCTATCCAGAAAGAAATCCATCTGTTTGTCTGATCCAGGCTGGGTTTTGCAGAATGTAAACAAACAGCATTTAGTCTTCCTTAGTCTTTTCAGTGTTGCTGTTCCTAATTTCCATTGCTGTTTAAATCCATCACTCTATAGAAGTTTTAGCAATATTATGTAATGAAGATGTCTGAATAAAAATTGGTGCTTGGAAATATGTTCAGATTAGATAAGGTGATAACACTGGCAGAAATTGGCTTTTTAAGTTAAAATATAGGAACATATAAAGTATGTATTTCCTCTCTGTAGAAGCCTGTATTAACAGTGCTAAATCTCCATATTTAACTGCTTTTGAAAGATAGAACATAATGTCTCTGGAAAAATCCCACTTGGTTATGTGTGCAATAAGGTTCTGATCATCCTACTATCTGTAATTTAATAATGTCTGCTTAAAAAACTAGTATTTTAAAATTCTGTGGTATAAAAAAATGACAAAATCTGCTTAATAGAAGGACAGTACCTTATGCCTGCAAAGAAATAAACAAAACACTGTGTTAGATGTGTGACATACAAGACCCGTCTTCATTACATGACATCCATAGAAACTGTATTTTTCCAGGTGATTTGTAACCTCAGTAACACTGTAGTGCTTGTTTGAATCTCTTTTTCTACCACAAGTGTGAAGCCACTAGGGAATAATAGTATTACCTAAACAGCATTGCTTATCTGCCCTCCTACAAAAACATTTCCTGCATATTCATTCAAATAAGTGATTCCACAAAGACTAGGAGAGAATTTCATGATTCAGTTACCTTTGTGGACTAATATTAATCAAATATTGAGAACATAAGTGTGTATTGTGACCACACACATTTCATAACAAGCTAGGCAGAGCTTATGACAGAAGAAAAACAAGTCAGTTTATGGTACAGAAATCAAATCAGTCCTGGCATTATTTTTGTAAGCGTTTACTCTAACTTGAAGTAAAACTAGCACTTATGAATATAAAACCAACTACATTATGGATTTAAATACAAAGTTGCATTTTGGGTTTTTTTAAAATTTTTCCTCTGTGTTGAAGTATATTGAAAGTATTTCAATATAGGAGAGATATTTCTAGTCGGAAATTAGAAGTCCTTAAGTTCTAGTTTAGGGAAATGGAAACAGTATATGAATAATTGATACTTCTGACATTCTTGTAGTGGATAAATACTCCTACTGTATCTGAAGAAACAGTAAGAGGAAATAGAGCAAATGAACCCAGGTTGCCTTAAAATTGTTGCCAATTGGGGATTTTTTTTTCTTTCATACTGGAAGGATATGTTCATAAATCTGAACATAACCTTTCTAGCTGAAAAACAAACGATTTGATAAGAAGACAGTAGGGAATTCAAAAAACCTAGGGCTTTCTTTAGCTTTGCTATGTGATGATGGGTGGAGCAGAGGAAAACACTTCCCTTGGTTGAGAAACTGCTGGGAACCCTGCACATGCATGCATGGGATCACATATTTCAGAGACTGGGTGCTGTGTCTGCACACCCAAGACCAGAAGCAAGCCATAAATTATGCTGGGGCATTTACATAGCAGCAAGAGGTCTAACATACCATTTTAAAGGAAAAGTAACTGGTTCCCACAGTATGTATGTTCCTCCAATGTTAACAGTGTGGAGGCCCATGTATGTTTCTGCAAAGGGGTATCTGTTTAAACTGTATTTATCATTTCTAGGCTTTTTAGACCCACCAAAACCAGGTTTTCCCATTGATTTGTGTTTTGGTTTACACACAGCATTGGCATTTTCTAACAGACTGCCAACCATGTCTGTTGTCTGGACTCAGTTATTCTACTTGAGATGACAGTTTTCTCTGATTTTGCTCTCTAAGGTGTTTAATAAACTAGGATTCTTGACATGCCAGGCAGAATTTCAGTTCAGTGTCACAACAGCAGTCACTGAGGTGTTCAGCTAGCATGCTGCTTGAATTTGCATGTTCATCAGCCAGCTAAGGAGGCAGGTAATTCATGGGCGATGGGGTTGGTTCATTTTAACTGTTGCACTCAGGATGATACAGTGCTGTGTTCTCAGTGAGCCTGTGCCCTTCTTCCTGGGTGATAAAAAAGCCAAGTGACAGTCTGGCCTTTGAATCATCCCATCAAACTGAGAGATCTCCAAGTACTCCTTTGTGCAGTTCCCAAGACGACTTTTGCTCTGCACATGTCCCTGAGATACCGTGCACATTGTGCTCTCTGGAAAATATTCCTATGTTGTGTTGGAAATGGAATCAGAACTGGGATTCTCTGGTTGGAAAATAAGAATAATCTAAGGGGCGTTTTTATCCATCTCATCTGTGTTTTTATGTTTTCTTAAATATTCGAGTTTTTTTGATCAGTGCTGCATTAGTCAATGCTGCATTAATTGTTTGCATTACCTCGTTTTGAAAGTACTGCTAAAATGGCTATGCCTTCGCAAGGTGAGTGGTGCCCACTTGGCCTGCTAAGATCAGTAAGCTGACTAGAATAAAATAGGGCTTACCAAAAGTAGGACAATTAAGAGTCTTTTCCTCAGATCTCTTATGGAAATACTGCAAAATACTTTTTTGTAAATAAACATTTGTAATTTATTCAAGACATAATATATTAATTCAAATGTTAAGAATTTGAAGCCTGATCTTTCCTTAGTTGTTTTTTTTTACTCTTTTGAATGAATCAGATATCTTTATTCTGAATTTAATTTCCAACTGTCTTTTTCAAATCCACAGTTTAAAAAAAATCTGAACAGAAATTTTGAAATTGAGCTACAAGAAGCTGGGGTGCCATCATCATAAACTGCAGAGAAGTCTATAAAAAATTCTACCTTTTGCAGTTCCTAGATCTGATCAGCAATTTAGTTTATTGGAGGAAAGGATTCTATAGAAGAATCTAAAAGGCACAGGTAGATGGCTCACTCACACTCTCAAGTCAGCTTCTTGTGGGCTTGTCAAAGCTGCATTTCATTGTCTCACAGTTACTGGAGACAGGTTTTAAGGTTTCTTTTTGTGTAATGAAGTGAAATGGCATATTTTGCACACAGAATATTTTCTATGGCACTTCTCATAGAAGAGAGTTATCTGCAGGACCAGATTTTAAGGATTGCAATGCTTGTTTATCTACCATTGAATAGCAGGGGGGTTTCAGTGGACTTGGATTTAATGCACACTCAGAATAAGGACTTTTCTAGTATCAGAACTTCAGGTCTCTTTCCCATGGCCCATACTTCCTTGCCTTCTTCCATAGTGGCCAGCACTCACACCAAAATCCTCACATCCTCATCCTCTCCATCTTAGTGCTGTACAAAGTCCGTTGCTCAGTCCTGCTACCACACAGTGTTTTCCTTCTCTATGTGCTCCTTGTGCCCAGTCCCTGGAGCAGTGGTTGGCAAAAGCTGCTTCTTGCTGGCAAGTTGTGATCACTTCAGGGACAGCCCAGTCCTGGGGGCGCACAGACGCCCAGATCAGCTCAGCTGCTGCTGGTGTTCCTCCAGCACAGAAACACTCCACAGCACTCCCAGTGGGATCTCTGGCTCCTCCACAGCTTGCGTGTCATGTAGCGAGCCGAACACAGGGCTAGCATCAAAACAAGTTCTGGGGTCAAAAGAGCATCAGGCATCAGAGAAACTTCCCAGTGGCCAATGTGAAGCCTGAAGGGTTGCCAGCTGCCATGTGGTAAGCCATGTTCTGTTCTTCTCTTGAAGATACGTTTCTACCATGTCAGGAAAAGGAATTAATGAAGAACATTTAGTCATTCATTAAATAAACTATCTGCAGGCAAATGTAGACCTCTCTAAGGCTGAATGCACTGAGCACACCATGCTAGTGATTTGTAGCAAGATAACAATCAAGGAAAGAGGCTCCTTTGTGTTTCTCAGTGCCCCCTGGTACAAACACACCTACTGAACAAGGAGAATCTATTCTTCCTTCCCATTTCTCTTGCTCTGGCATTCTCTACTCTTGTAGGCCCAAGTAATCTGATTCCAGAAGCTGATGTGCTGCAAACTCACACCACAGGGAGAGGATCAGTTCTTGCCTGAAGCAGGCTGGGAAGGAACAGGGCCAGTGGCTGCAGTGACCAGACCCAGGAACTGGGACCCCCCCCGCCGTGTGTCTTGCTGGCTGCTGAGGTCTCTCCCTGCTACACCTGCAGAGAGCTGGCCCTTCCACTGCCTTTGGGGAGCCCTGGGCACGAAGGTTCAGCATCTACTCATGTCTTGGCATCTGAGTCTGCCTGGGACAAGGGATGCCATTAATTTGAGCTGTTGTGCTGCTTGAAGGGGATTGATTGCTCTGTCTGTTGAGCCTGAAGGGAGGGTGCTTAGTGTATTCTTCAGCTCTAAGTAGTCTGTGATTGTCAGCAGTAGTGTCTTGCTTGATAATGGTGACTGTTATCCTCCAGGAACTTAGTTTATATTTATCTGCAGATCTGATCCCTAGGGAGAGGTAG